TGTATGTGTATGTGTATGTGTATATGCATGAGTCATGAGTGCATGTATTCTTACTTATGTATATGTATGACTTTCAGTATGTCTTTACGTTATGCATGTATGCACATGCAAACAATGCATGCATGCGTATGAATACACAGGTGATTACGTGTATATGTGGACACATAATTGCGTCTGTGTGTGTGTGTGTAGGTGTGTGTGTGTGTGTATAAACGCATGTGTGTATGCATGTTTGCGTGTATGCGTTCAAGCATGGATGTGTGTGTGTGTGTGTGTATGCAATGTCAGTATGCATGCATGCATGCATGCATGCATGGATGGTTGGCTGGATGGATGTAGGCATGGATGGATGGATGGATGGATGGATGGATGGATGGATGGATGGATGGATGGATGGATGGATGGATGGATGGATGGATCGAGGCAATTTGTGCATGTAATGCTTGTATGCGTGCATAGTAATTACATTACATGAAAACCTCAGGGCCACGCGCCCACCCTTCCCAAACTGAACTCCGCCCAGGTGCATGTGAGTAGAAGAGGATGCCGACTGCAAAGTATGAGACGATGAAGAAGAGGCACCAAAGCCAACCTCTAGGTTTGGTGTTCTTACGGAGACTTACGCTTAGCATGGGCCCAAAAGCCTTAAAATATGAGTCCTTTCAGGGTGAGGGTTAAATTGCCAGGATTGAGGGTGAGGGGTTCTACGCAGCCTAGATCCTGCTTATCAGGGCGCAAGAACCTTGGAAAGTAGCTTATTACTGAGGTTACTAGAGCCTTCATTGGGTACATGCTACATACTACTACATCCCTGTGGAGTTTTAAGGTGGAGTCTCGCAGGCTGGCTAGAGACGTTCTTCGGTAGTCCTCGCCCCCGGTGTTGGTCGCCGGTCACTTGCCTGCCCGCTGCGCTGTGGCCCCGTGGGGATTGCTTTGCATCCTTGTTTTGGCGACTCCCTGTCCAGTTCCTCACAGTGCGACTCGGTCAGCTGGTTTAGGGTTTAGGGTTTAGGGTTTTGCGTTTAGGGTTTAGGGTTTAGGGTTGCCGAAGCATCCACTCTCCTCTTTCGTTCCTGAGGCTCTACTGCTTACGCAGTTGATTGACCCACTTGCAGTCTAGGTCGGTCGCTTCTGCTCTGTACTCCGCAAAGCTCAGGCAGTGTTCCGGCATGGAAAAAGGTGTCCGCAGAGCCTGCAGTCACTGCAGGTGCAGTTGGCACTCCATCATATGGGGCTTCCGAAAGTAGGCGACCCGAATATAGTACCCTACATACTGGGATCCTCATTATAAGGACCCTAAATAAGGTACTCCTTAGTGTATACTTAGACCCTAAAGTACCTAAATAGGAACTACATTAAGGCCAATGTATAGACAATATGAGTACATGGACCCTTAGGTAGGCCCTAAACCCTACACCCCTAAACCCTAAATCACTAAACCCCAAAACCCTAAACCCCTAGACCTATGGGTACCCCTCGTTTTCGGAAACTCCCATGTTCCAGACTGCCATGGACCTCACAGTTTGCAGGAGAGTCGTCGTCGAAGTCTTGCGGTTCAATGCATGCGCTTACAAGGGACGTACCGTATTCTAGGGTCCTTATGATAAAGGATCCAAGTATTTAGGGTAGTACCTAAACCTACCAAAACCTACTTTTTTGTAGGGTCCCTATAAACCCCATACTAGGGTTTATTAATTAAGAACTTGCAAAAATGCCGGTTTTGGTAGGTTAAGATATATTAGGGTCCCCGATTTTCGGAGACCCTAAACCCTAAACCCCTATATTCTGAGCTCCGACAACCATTCGACCCTGGCTCTGAAACGGGGGGCTCCCTCGGCTTAAGCCTACAAGCTTGGGCTCACAACCCTGAATCCCACCCTAAACCCTAAACCCTAAACCCTGAACCCTAAACCCTAAACCCCCAAACCCCTAAACCCCCAATACACCCTAAAACCTAGAGCCCGAAACACCAAGCTCAACATGGCAGGCATGGATTTCGGAGTCCTGCGAGCCTTGGAACCATCCCTCCTTAAGGTTTGAGTAGAGGAGGTTAAGGCTCAGGGCTTCAGGGTTTACAGGGTTTAGGGGTTTAAGGTTGAGGGGATTAGGGGTTTAGGGTTTGGGGGTTTAGTGTTTAGTTTTGATTGTTTAAGTGCCTTTTTCGTCCCTACAGCAAGCCGTCGGCTAGAATGCCAGCATGGCCGAGGTGGTGGGTGGCCGTAGCCGACTCATCTACTTTAGCAGGGGTTTAGGGTTTAGGACGGATGTAGGAATAGGGTTTACGGCTTATTATCAACCCTTGAAGTTCCTAATATTCATGACTATACTGTACCCCCAATTCGACACCCAGTTGAGATTACAAAAGGGCCCCCTATATTCTTTAATAAGGGGTCAAAAAGAAGGGTTGCATAATGAGGGTTTAAAGTTTAGGGTTTAGGGTTTGCTGCTTGTGAGCCAGACCGGAAAATATAGAGGCAGCCGGGCAACTCTTCAGTTCGACCTTAGCTGAAGATTTCTTTGTTCATTACCGGGCATAAGGGTTCAGGGTACTTGTTGCCAAACTTGCTTGCTTTGAAAGTTGGAAGGTGCCGATTTCTAATTTGGCGAATTTGGAGGCTTCAGGGTTCAGGAGTTCATTCGGTTGAGATTCCGAGGGTGAAGTGGTTTGGGTGCTCTGTTTCAGGTAAGGAGCTTATATGCTGCAAGGGTGGCAGAGTTGGCGGGGTTACGGGGTTCGGGGCATGCGGCTCAAGAAATCACGGTTTGTGGGTTTCAGGTTATATAAACGACCACAGACCTGGCCGAAAAGCTCCGCCCTAAACCCGGGTTCAGCCACTTACGACATCCCCTAGCATGTATGATGGACACCCAACGAACGTTGTCGCCAATTCTTGTGGTCCGAATGAAGCTTCGAACGTGCTCGATTCTACTCTGAGTGGGTTCTGCTTTCAGGGGTTGGGACCACCGTCCCAGCACTCCTGATCATGCACGGGTACTCGTTTACGTGAACTATGGACTGTCGGTGCGTGCTTAAGGGATTGCAATGTGTGTTTGGACTCGAAATCCATGGCCGCAAGAACCGAAGCGGTCATCTCAAGCATATCGAATGTCCATGGTGCTCTAAGTTCTAGAGCAGCCATTAAAGAAGGTATCCTGCTTAGGGCCAATCAGGTCCTCAAAAAAGACAACCCTGCTTCGTTAGACAGCACAGAAAGCACTAAGACCGTAAGTCTTTCAGTTGTAACACCACAAACAGAGAATGATCAAGTGTCATCCTAAAGCTGCCCCCAACACACTAACGAATACGAGAACAGCGCCAACTGAACAACGCTTTCGATACGAACCTTATTTCAAAACAAAGCTAGAAAGCCGCTAACTCTAAATTTATAAACCAAAAGCTCCCTAAACCCTTCAACACTAAATCCCAAATCCTAACGCGTAAAGACTTTAAACTCTAAACACTACGCCCCAAAGCCTAGACCCTGTAAACCCCTAAACTCCTAAACCCGTTAACCCCTTGACCCAAAAAACTCAACCCTAACTAACCCCACGCCGAAACCCTGCCGAAAACATCCTCGCCCCTGTCTAAGGAACCGACCAGCCACGCAGGTTGGACCTGCGCTTTTAAAGTAGGGGCCTTAGGGTTTTGGGGTATATTATATTATACTATAACAGTATATAAGGAACCCCCAAAATAGTAGTGGTACTCATTTCGGCCCCTATATTAAAGGTGTTAAAACGCTTTAGGACCTGAGGATTTACGGGTTTAGGGTTTGTGGATTTAGGGTTTGGAGTTTAGGGGTTTATAAGGCTTATGATTCAAGGCTTGGGGGTGTTTTCTTTGGCTCTTCGACATCTCGGGCGGAGGCGCTCTTAGCTACGTGCTTCTCTAAGTTAGGGTCCGTTTTTCGAACCCAAAAGAATGCGGCACCCTGAAAAATAACAAAGACCCTGCAAGGAACCCCACTCTAGAGAACTATCCTTAAGCCTAAACCCTGAACCCAAATAGTGAGGCTCTACCGACCGATATTCAGTGCCTCCGGGACCGCCCCGAAGCCACACTGTCGGAACTTTTGGGGAATGCTGAAGCTGCAGGTAGGGCTTAGGGTTTAGGGTTCATAGGGTCTAACGATTCGGTTTAACGGTTTTACGGTTTAGGGTTTGCTAGCCTTCGACAGGTATGATAAGGCATTGCCGGGCTAAGGCAAAATTCCTTTGGATGGAGTTCGAGAGTGTACTTCGCGAGTTATAGTCCCCCAAGATCTTTGGTTTGAGTGTTTTAAGGGGTCCAAACAGACGAAAGATTTGACATAGTATCGTATTTGAACCAAAATTCCCTACCTTTGAAAAGATCTTCATAATATGCTTACAAGGCATCGTGCCAGCTGCCCTCTGAGATAACCCTCAACCCTGAATCTTGAGCCCTTGACCCTACAATGCATTCAGGAAGCCAAACGAAGAACACCAGACATCCGACATCCTAAGCTCTGTAGTATAGAACTCTCACAGAACTCGAATAGGACCACTATAGACGACTTAACAACCCATCTGTTGTCTTGAGTCGTTCTTAGTGCTCTAAGGGAACTCTTCTAGGCCTAGGCTCATGAGCAACCCACTGGGAAAACTGCGTGAAGTTTTCTTTTTAGGTCAACAAGCTTGTAAACGGAACCCTGATAAAAAAAAAAGAAAGGTGGCATATCACTGAACACCCCAGCCTTACGTATACAAGTGCCACAGAACCCTTGTAGAAGCTTTATCGAAATATCGTTATCACAACTATAGGACTAACTTTACTGGCCCTCGTGCTGCATGCCCTAAACCCTAAACCCTAAACCCTGAACCTAAACCCTAAACCCTATCGCACCCTTGGGTGGCCTCACCGAAGAGGAGGCCCTTCCGCAGGCGTTGTGGAGCGCCGTGCGGAACGGCAAGCTGACAGTGAGGGGCTTTGCAGGATGGGGCTCAGGCTTCTTGCAAGTATTCCTTGCGGGTTTAGGGTCTAGGGGTTTAGGGTTTATAACTTTAGGGGTTTAGGGTTTAGGTTTTTTGTGTACAAGGTTCCGCGGGTTGGCAATGCTTTTATAATACGGGCCGTTGAGACCTTGTGCTGCAGGACCATCATACAACGATTCTATTTTGAGCTTGCGCAACGTAACTCGGGCCGTGAGAGATTCTAGAGGGTAGAGGACGTATTTAGGATCATTCGGGCCTTGTGGGTTTTTGGGGCAGCTGGGGTCTTGAGGTTAGTTATTGTAGCCCTCCGGTCAATGGCGAGGATGTAGAGTTTTTGGCGTTGATTTAAGCTGTAAGTGTCCGTTAGGGACTTAAGGTCTACCCATAGGCCCCATAGTAGGGTTTAGGGGTTTAGGGTTTAGGGTTTAGGGTTTAGGGTTTAGTTCCTTTTTGGGGATACCTTATAGGATTCTATATATTATGAACCCCAAAAAGGAACTACTTTAGGGCCAATTGGGTATGGGCTTTGAACCCGGGGCAGGTCTGAGCGTCAGATACAAATCTAGATCCCAAGGTCTACCTATAGGCCCCATAGTAGCTCCTTTTGGGGATTCCCTAATCGGATTCTATACATGAACCCCAAAAAGGAACTAATATGGGGCCTATGGGTGGAGCTGTCTGGTGGAGGGCTCAGAGTTTAGGCTTATAGAGTCTTGAGGACTCCTGGTGTGTCGATGGAAATTTGCAGTTCAGTTATGGCGCTAATCTTTTTGCGCCTTTGGACATTGGGCTTTAACTTCGAGCTGTCAGGATCGCTTCAGGTTTGTAGTTTGCGGCTTTTCAAGTGGGTGTGGTGGGTCCACGGAGGAACCCGAACAGGTCCGTCCAACCGACCACAGAGGAACCCGAAGAGGTCCGTCCAACCTAAAGCCTAGAGCCCTGGAGCATAAACCCCTAGGAAACATTAAACCATATCGAAGCACAAGATATTAGACCTTCTTAGACCATATTAAACCAGATTAGTTCAACCATGTTAAAACCCTAAACACAAGACCCTCAAGCGGGCTCCCTAAATCGAACCTCAAAGGCCTTAACCCTAAACCCTAAACCTTAACGTTAAATACACCCCTAGAATCTCTAGAAGCTGGTCTCTTATCCTAAGCATCCCCAAAACCATTAGAACCCACACCTAATGTAGGGGCCTTAATAATTAGAATAGGGCTCCTTTAAGGGCTCCTTTAAAGGGGTTACTATAAGGGGTACTATCTCATGTAGGGGTCGTAATAATTTGAATAGGGTTTGGGGGTATATTAGACTATAACTATAATGAGGAACCCCCAAAATAATATAGTAGGTAATTATGAAGGCCCCTATATTAGGGTGTAGGGTTTGGGGATCAGAGGTTTAGGGTTTAGGGTACTAGAGCCCAGCTAGCAGAAAGACATCTTGCAAATCCTCAACCCAAGCCCTAAACCTGAACTGTGTACTCGATACCCTGCAACCCGAGAGAGAAAGTCATGCACCCACCGCCACCTCAAACAGTAAAAGATCTCAACACATCGCCACGCATTCCAGCAGAAGAAAACACACACAGCAAAACCCAAAAACGACCCGACGCACAACAACACACAACAAATAACCATGGGCAACACAACGATACAACAATAAAACAAATACAACAACCTCAAAACGAGCAAAGCCCCCATGTTTCTGGGGCCCTAAACCCTGAGCCGTAAACCGGGGCCCAGGCCGAGCGCCCGGCATCTGCGGAGAGTCCCATGCCATTGGAGTTCCTGGAATTGAGGAGTTTGAGACCCTTTTAGGGTTTAGGGTTTAGGGTTTAGGGTTTGGGGTTTAGGGTTTAGAGGTTTAGGGTTTGGGGTTTAGGGTTTAGGGTTGGAGTTCATGGCGAGAGACATTGAGACCCGAACACAGGGTTTAGGGAGGAGGGTGTTCCAAAATGAACCCTAAACCAATCAGGGCTCCGGGTCGTAATACCTGTCGCCCAAAAATCCTCTAAAAAGATTGGATCAGATTCCTGACCTACAACACCTATGGCCTTCCTAGCCGCTCCAAGCCTATCCTGAGCTGGAGGATTCAAGCCACATGCGCCCCGGTGGGTTTGGGGTTTAGGGTTTAGGGGTTTAGGGTTTAGGATTTGGATCTACCCTGAACCTTACCAAGCCATGGAGGTCTTCTAAACTTCTGAGGGTGTAGAGTTGAGGGAATGTACTCGGGCGCACCAGCCTCAGGAAAATGCAATTGGAAGGTCTACAGTTCATCGCCGCTGAATGTCACTGCCGGTCTTGCGATGTCCTATCTTATGATACGGGTTTACCGTTTAGGGTCTAGGGCCTAGGGTTCAGGGTTGATGTAGGTGCTTAATTAAGCTCGAATAGCGTTTTGGGCTTTTGGGGCCCATTAAACTATATTTATAGTAAGACCCCCCAAATACGTTAGGTAATTATTTAGCCCCCTATATTAAACCTGATAGTACCCCCTATAGTAACCCCTTTAAAGGAACCCTTAAAGGAACCCTATTCTAGGTAATCACTTAGGCTCCTACATTATCCATGGTTCTCCAATCTTATGGTTGGAGAGTTGTAGATAACAAGCCACGGAGAGATCGAAAGGCACCCTGAATCAAACCCTAAACTACATTTGTGAGTTTAGGGTTTAGAGTTTAGGGTTTCGGGTTTAGGGTTTAGAGTTTAGGGTTTCGGGCTTCGGGTTTAGAGTTTAAGGTTTAGGGTTTACTGAGCTAGTAAACCTTGAGAAACAACTCCGAGTTGCTAGCAGCTCGGGCTCTCTAAACCCACCCTTTCAGCCCTAATGCCGAACCGTCCTAACCGAAGGCCCCAAGCGCGCAAGCCAGAAACCTTAGGCCTTAGGCGTCCTGGGCATTCGGATGTACTTTGTTCTGGCTATATAGGGGCCGTAACGATGAGACTAGGGTGTTGGTTTATATCATAGTAGCGATATGAAGTAAGTACAACGAGATAAAGTTATCATTTGTCTAGGCATCTAAACCGCAACATGTGACATCAGGGTTGAGGCAACGAACAATGCGATATCGTCCTGATCTCACCCTACATTAAGGCCCCGAAACCCGCTCCTTTTGTAGAGTCACTATAAGGTCCAAATCCGGGGCTATAGTGAGAACCTCCATGGTAGTTTGCTATACTGCCAGGTACATACACAGTGCCGCCATCTAGGCCCTACTTAAGTTTAAACCCTAAGCCAAACGCCGGACAAGAAACACAAGCACCTCTAACTCTAACCCTGAACCTACACCCCTGCCCCGAGAACCTCTCTCACAGGCGCGCAGGTCCAGAAAGGATTCAAGAGCTGCAGGGAGGTTTATGGGTAAGGGTTTAGGCTTCTAGGATCTACTAGGGCTAGTCTGGGGTGGCTGAAGGGCGATAAGGACCTAAGCCTGGCTGGTTCGGGGCTTAGGGTGGAGGCGCGGTTTCGATTCGGGGGCTCGGGCTTGAGCTAGAGGGATGAGGGGAAATACATCGTGAGCTTATAGGGTGGTAGGGTTGAGGGATCAGGTTCGACTCTGAATGTCAAGCATGGCTCTATATATCTTGATGTACTGGGCTTAGGGCTCAGGGATGTCCGCTTCTGGCCCCTCAGCTTTGCTCAAGGATATCATGTTGTTTTGCTGTTGGTGGGTTGAGTTGTGCATCTGCTGCGTTTCGGCCGCGCTTGCTGATAGCTTGAACCGAAAATATCGACAAAGGCGGTGCAAATGCGGAAGGCGAGCACGTCGTGGAGGGCTTGCTCCATGACAGCCCTACAAATGGGTAAGATGATATGATTCCCTTGTCAAGCCTTAAGACCCTAAACCCGGAACCTTACACTTCTTCTACCATGCACTGCGCCGCCGTTTTGCACGTGGGGATGAGTCAGACCACTGAGCCCGGAACCCGGCTCAAGCCCTCGACCCTGAACCCCTGATTCAAAAGATAACGCAGAAAGCCAGACCGCAGCATTTCTCTTGTCCAAGGCATGCCAGGCAGTGTCGAGCAGCGCTGCTCGGCCAAGCGATCCATGCAGACCACCGCAAGACAAACCACAACAACAGAAACACACAACCCGAACGGAAACCTCCCAGCTGCAACCCTAAACCCTAGAGTGGGGTTAGGGTTTAGGGTTTAGGGTTTAGGGTTTAGGGTTTAGGGTTAGGGTACTACACCTAAGCCCTAAACGGCTACAAGCTCTGAGACTGGCCAGGCTCTCAATGCTCAGAAACCTCTGCGTCCCTGCGACCCCGGAGCCCTCGCTCCGCATGCTCCTGACAAGCCCACTAACCCTAGTAGGGTTTAGGGTTTAGGGTTTAGAAATGTAGGGGGCTGAATAACTAGAATAGGGTTCCTTTACAGGGGTTACTATAAGAGGTACTATAAGGGTTTCTAGGGGGCTTAATACTTAGAATAAGGTTCTGTTGAGGGGGTTACTATAAGAGGTACTATAAGCGTTTAATGTAGGGAGCTTCACCACTAGAATAGGGTTTTTGAGAGGGGGGCACGAACCGCGCAAAGAAACAACAAATAGGAACCACGCTTCGGCTTCAAAGGAACCGCGACAAGAAACCCTTCAAAGGAACACTGTCGCTTCAGCGCTGAGGCTCAGAAATTGCCTTTTTTCGTCAGACTTCTGTGTCCCGAAAGTTGAGTGACGTCCCACGTCACTTCTTGAACCTGGCTCTGGTTCCCACACCTGTTCTGGGAAGGAACAGCCAAAGAAACAAAGGTAGAGAGGAAAGCATCACTTCTTAAGCTTTTCCATTCTTCAGCTTTTCCATCCGGTGCTTTCGCGCGGCTTTAACCTTCTGCACCGCAACATCTTCGATGTCCGGGGCCTGCCCGTCCGAAGCTTTGGATTTTCTATTTTAAGGTTTTGGTGCTTCGGATTTTTTATTTTAGGGCTTTGGTGCTTCGGAGTTTTGGATTTTAGGGTCTTGGTGCTTCGGTTTTTTTGATTTTAGGGTTTTGGTGCTTCGGATTTTTGGATTTTAGGGTTTTGGTGCTTCGGGTTTTTGGATTTTAAGGTTTTGGTGCTTCGGGTTTTTTGATTTTAGGGTTTTGGTGCTTCGGATTTTTTTATTTTAGGGTTTTGGTGCTTCGGATTTTTTGATTTTAGGGTTTTGGTGCTTCGGATTTTTTGATTTTAGGGTTTTGGAAACCAGCCTCGGGATCCGGTCCAGCGCGTTTTTTGCTACGCTTGCTTTCTTTGATCTTCTGCTGCTCTGCACGATCACGCCGGCATTCTTGCTCCGTATCTTCCGCCACTTGCTCGAACAACCGGCCAGATCGGATTCCCATGAGAAGCTGAACATCCGCCTTGTACACTGTCTCTGATCGTTTCGCATGCTTTCGCAAAACGGTGCAATCCGAAAACACGGATGCCACGAACTCCTCACTTGCGGCTTGGGCCCAAACACGAGCATCTTTGGAAATCTTCATGTCACCATGAGGGGGGATGGCACCATCACCTGAAGCGCATGCCATTTTGGATGCGTTTTCCATCTCATCGTCCACGGTCTTTTGCAGGTCCTGGAAAACGTCATTGATGAGCCGATCGAAAGCTTTCTTTGGGATACTCATGCTGGCTTGGAGCGACTGTCGCCATTCCGGATCCTGCCGGGCAGCGGACTCCTGCGTCTTGGACCCTCTCTCTCGCTTGCCACCCCGCTTTTCCGTGAGAAACTCCCGGTGCGCATCAAAAAGCTCGCAGCCCTTGGCCTTGGCCTTCATGTGGGGCGGCATACTGTTTGCCACTTCATGAATACCCTCTTCTCCCGGTGACACGTAGGTCGGCGAATCGCCCTCTTCCACTCCATCGTCATCGTCATCATCAGGGATCTGGTTGATCACGGGCTTATCGGAGGAGCGAACCTAACAGGACACTTGCCCCTTTAGGGTTTACACTCCGCTTTAGGGTTGAGGGTTCAGGATTTGAGGGGGCGTGGCAGGGTGTAGGGCGTACGGGAGTTTCGGGTGAAAGGCAACACCCCTGGCCTTTGCAGGAAGTCTTGCAAGCTTTGCAGGCTGTTCCGGACGTGCTGCGGGAGTTCTTGCAGGCACTGCAGGCTGTTCCGGCGGTGATGCACAAGGCTGGTTTCGGAGTCTTTCCACAAGAGCCGGCTTGTTCCCCTTGCATACAAGGCCTAGCTCCTTCAGCTTCGCCTTCAATTCCGGCACCTGCAGACATCCAAGAGTGGAACTGCAATCGGAAACCCAAAACAGAACCCAAACTTGGTCAAGCAAAGCCTTCCACTTTGCGAAATCATCTGAACTTGGCGCACGCTCGGCCTCGCAGATCAATCTTAAATCCCAATGTTGCTTGCAAGAATCTTTGCCCTGGCCTTGTCTACGGCAGGCTTTCCAGGTTTCATTTCCGATTTCACCTGCATGACAAGAAAGGCACAGCTTTGGGAAACCCACCATACCTTTGCGAGTTCCCTAGCCTTGGCCAGAGCAGGTTCTGCAAGCTTGCCTTCGGGGCCAACCTCGGCGACAAACCAGACGCAGGCGAACAAACTCTGCACTTCCAAACTCGCTGTCGGAAGTGGGCAGGCCCCCCGAGGCCTTCTCGGAAGCAGGTTCTTCACCGTCGTCTTGCAGCCCCACCTGTGCGACAAGAGACGTACAAGGGAACCAGCTTTGAAGAGCTGCCCGTTGAGCCTTCGAGCCTGGCGGTTGCCGGTTCACGGCCTGTTTGGTGGCAAGACAAAACAGAGCAATGACTCCAGTTGGACTCCCTGTGTGCTGGTGGTTGCCTGCGGAGAGGTGAGCGGGTCCGCCGAGGCATCAAAAGACCGCTCCAGGACGTCGCGCTGTCGTCGACGTGGCAGTGCCTCCAGCAGTGCCCGGTTCTGCTCCCTTACAGAAGCGCCCTGTCGCCAATCAAACGCACCGTTCTGCTCCTCGACGAAGCCTTGACTAAGCAAAGTCTGCACGGCAGACCGAGGCATCATGATGCGGGATGAGTAGCCAGGCTTGGCTAAATAAACATAGCCACCAAGCGGAGAACTTGGAGCACGGGTGAGCTCCGGCGGCGTCATGGGGCTAGCACGTTGTGCGAGCATGACACCCAGTTCCTGCTCCGCTAAGGGGGAGTTGAAGTCTGCACGGACCTCTTCCGACATCGCTCCTGCAAGCCTAAAGTCAGCCCGGCAACAAGAAGTTTGCGAAGGACTGCAATCACAGAAGTTTGCGAAGGACTGCAAGCACAGATGCGTGCTTGGCTTAGGCAGCTGCCCGATGAACGAACGAAGTATAAAAACCCATCCTAAACCCTGCATTCACGGGCCAACCATGACAACGTCCAGATCAGCTTCATCCATCCCCAGAGAGCATCCATGTGCCAACCATGAGAACTCCCAGAACAGACTCATAGAGCATCCATGGGCCAACCATGATAACCCGGTTCCCATGATAACGTCCAGATCAGAGTCCATCCATGCCCAAACAGCATCCACTGGCCAACCATGATAACATCCAGATCAAAGCCTATCCATGAGCATCCATGTGCCAACCATGATAACGTCCAGGTCAGACTCCACCCCTTCCCACAAGCATCCATGGGCCGACCATGATAACGTCCAGATCAAACCATCTGTTCCCGCAAAGCATCCATGTGCATCCATGGGCCAGCCATGATAGCGTCCAGATCAAACCGTCTGTTCCCGCAGAGCATCCATGTGCCAACCATGATAACGTCCAGATCCGACTCCATCCATTCCCACAGAGCATTCATGGGCCACAACCATGATAACGTCCAGATCACGTAGTAGTAGTAGTAGTAGTAGTAGTAGTAGTAGTAGTCACAGTAGCAGTAGCAGTGGCAGAAGCAGTAGCAGTAGTAGGAGCAGCAGGAGCAGCAGCAGCAGTAGCAGCAGTATGGAAGCAGTAACAGAAGTGATTTCAACCGCCACACCGCTTCCCCCCTCCGTTAGTTCCCCACGGGCCCTCTCACCTCGTGCTCGGCCTCGAACGGCGGTGGAAATGGTATACATAGTTAGCACAGAGTATTAGTCGTCGTCGTAATAATATAACAATAACATACAAATGTACTGGAAATAGCCGTCGTAACCGTAATTGTAGTCGTGAAACAACATGTATATTTATGCATCGTCTTACATAGACGTTCTCTGCAGAGAAAAAGCGAAGACGCTTGAAACAACAAGCAGGGACCGGCCAAGACTAAATCTTGAGGCACAAAGTTTTTGTACAATCCCAAGCTTTCCTTGCTATGGATCCCACAAAGCATCCATGGGCCAACCGTGAAGGCGTCCAGATCAAACCCCATCCGCAAGGGGGCAGACGACGTCCGATTTCGGCCTGCACTACAAAATTGAAGCGCTAAGTCGTGCGTCATTTGCTTTTGTGGAGGTTCCGAAAATGACCGAAGGCGCAAACGACGTCCGATTTCGGTCCAAATTCCGAAATTGAACCTCAAATCATGCGTCGTTTGGTTTTGGGGGACTCTAGGGACACGGCTTCGTTCTGTGTTGCGAAATTGCTCAAGGGGGCAAACGACGTCCGATTTCGGCTCGAACCACGAAATTGAGACCCAAATCGTGCGTCGTTTGCTTTTGGGGGTGGAAAAGAGGCTTCGTCCGTGGCAATCATTCCAGTGCTGATGTTGCTCAACTGTATTCCGAAATTGCCAGGGGGTGCAAACGACGTCCGATTGCGGTCCAAATTCCGAAATTGAAGCCCAAATCGTGCGTCGTTTGGTTTTGGGGGACTCTAGGGACACGGCTTCGTTCTGTGTAGTATTCCGAAATTGCCAAAGGAGGCAAACGACGTCCGATTTCGGCTCGAACCACGAAATTGAGACCCAAATCGTGCGTCGTTTGCCTTTGGGGGGTCCAGGAAAGAGGGTTCGGTCCGTGGTAGTCAGTACGGGCGTTTTTGGCTTTATTCTGCATGGAATTTGCCTATCTTTTCAAGGCTGCAACTGTCGTAGTCAAGAAAAGCACACGACGTGTGTTGCGTTTTTTTGTGTGTTGTGTCGTGTGTTCTCTTTTTTAGTTCTGGGATTTCGGGTATATTCCGTATGGGATTTGCCTATCTTTTAAGGCTGCCACTGTTTCAGTCAAGAAAAGTGCATGACGCATGTAGGGGATTATTGCTATTTTTTTCGTGGTGTATCATATTTCCTGGTTCTGGGTTTTCGGCTTTTTTCTGTATGGGATTTGCCTATCTTTTTAAGGCAGCGACTGATTTTGTGAGATTTTGTTAAGCAAAGTGCATGACGTTTGTTGGGGATTATCGCTATTTTGTGTGGTAGTGCATTATATTTCTAGTTCTGGGATTTGAGCCACATTTTATAGGAGTTGCGTACCCTTTTGCCGCCACACAAACTTCCCCAACCGAACCCTCCAGAGTCAAGGCATGATTTGGAACCTGCGACAAACACAACCCACCTGTCAACACATTCTTCGTTCGTTCATCGAGGTTTAAGAGCAAACTTCAGCAGACACTGCTTGCTGAGGCTTTTGTGCCCCTTTCACCTGCGGCGCTTTCGGGCTGAGCCTTCGGCTCGAGGGTTCTGCTCCTCTTCTGAGTCTGCACCACGAGCCTG